CAAAAGTACCATTTTTGTGCTGCCTCAGCAGCCACCTCCTGCTGCTACAGCAAGTAGTCAAGGACAGGATTGCGCTGGGGCCAGAACCAGGGTACAGGTTGTTACTCTGAGTAAGGTCAGACAGCTACTCCCCAGAGCTGCAGTGCTCACCACTCCCTCCCCACCGCTCCACAGAAGCTGCCTTGGCCAATGGGTCAAGTAAACAACACGGGGCGTTTAGCTTGGCTCCTGGGCCACCTCTAGCAGAGCCTTCGGCCAGCCCTGCAAAGCCACCGCCTCCTTCTCCTCCTTCCTTTGCAAGCAGTCAGCACTTGTGTCCCTGAGCACAGTCACCCATGTTGCCAGGCTCCGGTCCTGGCAAAAGGTTTGCATGGTTTGCCTCTGGGCACAGGAAGGGAGCACGCATTCCCACCCGGCGTCCCCTGGAGCCACTGTGTCCGCACAGTGCCAGACACTCACGTGTATCTGGAAGCCGTAGTTGCGCTGCACCGCAAACTCTGTCACGTCTGTGCAGGAGCGGAGGTCGATTTCTCCATCGAGGTCATCAGCCTGCAAGCACAGCCGCTGGCTAGGACATCAGTGCAAACCCAGCTTGGAAAACCCTCATCACCTGCTGGCACCCTCTGCCTTCACCGCACAGCTTCCTGGGAGCCAGTCTCTGCTCTCCACATACCAAGGGGCATGGAGATGGAGAGCACCAGAGATGCTCAGCCACTGGACCAGCCCTTCTCACCTCCCACCGCTGACAGCCACCCCAGGCTTCGCCAGTCACCTTCAGATACCCATCCTCTTTGTCACCCCTTCACAAAGAACAGCTTGCCACCTCCAGCACCTTTCAGGGTGACATGATGCCTCTCCCAGGAGCACGGTGGTCATGCCAGGGCTGTGATCCTCTCCCCGCTGGTTGGGAAGGAAGAGAGGGCTGGGGAAAGGCTGGCCGTACTTACCTCCTCTGCGTTCGAGTCCCGGTAATACCTCAGGCTCGAGTCGGTCAGCACAAACCAATGTTTCTTCCACTGCAGGCGGATCGGGCAGGGGGAGGGAAGGGAAAAGACAAGAGGGAAACGGATAGGCAGTTACCGGGGAAGTGTAGGAACAGGGAGGGACGCTCTGTGCTGTGACCTCTCAGCCTTCTCTTCCCCCTCCTCCATGTCCCTTCCAGCTCCCCCTTGTGCTCCTCAGCTGGGAGATGGGCACTGCATGAACCTCTGTGCCTGCACACAGAGCAAGGCACTCCCACCAAAGGTTTCCTGCTGCCTTTCCCAGCAGGAGTGACCTCAGCGAGTGAGGGGGAAGGAAATCGGCTGCTCACGAGGCAATCTCTAGCAGCAGAGGCTGGGGGAAGACAGAGACTCCTGTCTCGGGCTTACCTCTCCTGGCTTGTCCAGGATGGACATCCATCCCTTCTTGAAATTGAGGAGATCCGGCTGGAAAGGAAAGAAAAAACAGGGTTACTGTCTTGGACTGACCCATAAGAAAGCCTGTCGTGCCAGGGGGTGGATGGTAAGTCCCTAATGGCAGAACAACTTTGGGAATAGCTTGGCATCACTTCTAGGAGATTCAGGGGGGTGTAGGGCCTGGTAGTGAAGGAGAACTAGATTTAGCTCTCAGCAGCAGGCAGGCGTTCTTGTAAGAGGAAGCAGGAGATAAGGAAAGAGGTTTAAAAAAAATCAAAGGAAAATATGCAGCAGGGAGGTTTCCACAAGGTGCCCCTGAGGTATTTGTTCAGGGACAAGGAGAGTGGGCAGGAGGGAGCGCTCCACCGCCAGCAATAGGGCTTGCCTTGGAGATGGAGGCAAAGAACCAGACACACCTTGTCCAAACCCTGACCATCCGTGCCCCAGAGCTATGTCCCTCCCGTAACTTCACCACCGATTGTCTATTAAAGACATGAGTAGCTCTCTACAGAACAACTCTCACCACAAATGTACAGGATGCAATTCAACAGCTGCGAAAACATGTTCCCTTTAAACAACGTGCCCCAGGGTAAAGATGAAATCAGAGTCACAACCAGCACCTGATCCTCTCCAAGGTGCTCGGGGCTCCTCTCTTACCCTGTTCTTTCTTCTCCTTCCTGCCACAGAGACTGCTCTCTGCCACAGCTACTCAAGATGAGAATGAACAGACTATCACCCAGATCGCCCCATGCTAGAAAGAAGCTTCCCCCCCTTCCCTGCCTCCTCCTAACCTCACGCCACTGGTGCGGCATCCCAACCAGTTTATCTCCTTCCCAAGGTGGAGCACCAGAGAGCTGACTCAGGGGAACTGCTCTCCCTGGCTTTGCCCTCAGCCAAACAGGCTTGAGCCGGTCCCTCCTCCCAGCCCTGCTGGCTCCGGAGAAGTTGCACCACCAAATAATTCCGCCCAATGCCTCTACTCCCTGGGAAACCAGGGTCTGCAGATCTGCCCCTTCTTCTGCAGCCAAACCAGGCAGGGACGGTGCTGGAGAGGTGATGGTGCCAACCTCCCAATACTCTGTACCAGACCTGCCAGTCCCAGGGATGCCACCAACTACCACCAAAGTCCGAGCTGGGAAGCGGAAGGAGTGGGTTGGGAAGTTGACAGCCACACCGCAGCCCCCAGAGGAGCCCAGTGGCCGGCTCATGCTCCCCACATGCCCAGCTCCCTGCTGCCCTGCTTTCACCTCCCATGGGTTACACCCAAGGCTATGGGGCAGCAAGAGCTGAGTACATGCTGGCCCACCATGATGCTCTGGCTACTGGTTCAAGCAGGCACGGAAAGGTCCACCAAGGGGAGGGTCACTGGCTGCTACAGCTTCAGGCCTAGCCAGAAGTGTCCAACTGCAGCCCCGAAAGCCAGAGAAAGGAGGGAAAACAGAGCAAAAGGGCACGGGGGGCTCCCACACCTCACCTCCCGATGAGGGGACAGGCACTCCTGGTGGCTGGGTGATGAGGGAGACGCGTGCATCCCCATCCTCACGGACCTGGACGTCCCACTGGCCCTGCCGCCTCCCTGAAGAAGCGCCCTGAAACTTAATTCTTTCTCTGTGGCAGCAGCAGCTCCACCCTTTTTCCCGTTATCCCTTCCAATCCAGTGACTTCAGCTCCGGCTCCGAACTGGGAGCGGCGGGGGGGGGGGAAAGGAGGCGAAACGTCAAAGCGCAGCCTCCCCCCGCCTCTCCTGGGATGCACGTGCGCTGGGCAGGAGAGAGCCAGGCAGGCTCCATGGGAGTGGAATAACAATATACGGAGAGAGGGAGCAAAAGGAGTCCTTGCTGGGGCTGTTGTATGGATCAGGTGGGTCTCGTCTTACTGAGCATTTACAATCCCAAAGCATTAGGTGCCGAAATAATGAACATTAATGGGGTGTATGTTGCTGGGAAAACTGGCATGAAGTGCTGCCAGAACCACTGCCCACAACACAGTGCTGGGGACAGAAAATCCCCCCCCTCCAAAGGGCTTCTCCCAAGTGGGTGAATCGCACAGGACTCCTGCTTCCCTTGCCACCCCAGATATGGAGCTGCAGGTCTGGAATTGGCTTTGAACTATTCTTGTCATAGCAGGGCAGGTGCCATAGCACGAGACATCAGTTGATGCACAAAGGTGCTTAAAGCCACTTTTTTCCCCCTCTCCACAATCAAATCCAGCTTCTTATTTGGCATAAAGAGCTCCAGGTATCAGCAGAGAAGAGAGCAGAGGACTCTGGTTCAAACTGAACCAGAGGAAACGGCCTGGCAGCGGGAGGAGGAAACATCCAGGAAAGCCGAACTGCTGGGAGAGATCCGGAGATGCAAGGATGCGGCAGGATGCACCCCTGGCAAAATGCATGACCAAGCAGTGCAGCTTGGGGCTGTGGTTGGTGAGGCTTCACCTTGGAGGTGGCAGCAGCAATTTTGCATGGTTGCATCCATACCCACCAGAATTACATGTATGTTCAGCCCTGCAGCTGGCCAGGTAGAGGCACCAGAGGGGGTGCCAGGCAGCTTGGGACATGGGTGATGTCTGGAAGGACTGGCTTACAAGAGCAGGTTAAGGAGAGGCAGCTGCCTGCCTTTGCTGAAGAAGGGCTACAGGGGAGGTGATAACAGCCTGCAAGTATCCCAAGAATGTAAACACCAAAGAAGGAAAGGGGATGGGAGCAAAAGAATGGCTCCTGGGTGGTACAGAGGCACCGCGATGGAGAAGTGGAGGAGAGGCTGCGGCAGGCTGAGAAAGCTCCATGTCGAAGGTGACTAATGCGATGGTCACCATCGCCACCCTCTGCCGTTCCCCGTCCCCCCCCTCTGCCGTTGCTGTGCCTCCTGCTCTTCCTGCTCCCAAAGGCTCCCGAGGACCTCAGATCCTGGAGCACCACTTCCTCTCACATCTGAGAGAACGTGAGAAGGGCTTTCAGCCTTCCAGCAAGCACAGTGTCTCCTCTCCTCCAAAAAGGGAACCCACTCCATAAGGTGCAGGCCCCAGGCGAACAACACAAATCCAAACTGCTCCAGCTCAGTTTAGTGGAAGCAGAACCGCTCCCCGGCTGGAGCACACATGCAGCTCTCAAATCTATGCGTGCTCCAAAAGCAAGCGGACAACAGGCTCTCCCTTTCCCACCACTCCCATGCAAAACGCCGTCGGGCAGA